GTTTCAGGATTTGACCACATCATTCGTTTTGAAGGATGCTGATTCGATGGTAATATTGGATAGGTCGGTGGTACTGGAGTTGATGCAGGAACTGATGTTGGTGAAGGCCTGATAGGATTGGACATTGCAGTCGTTGAGTCATCAGTAGTATCATCTGGACGGGTCGAAGAATTCTCCTTATTCTCATCACTCATTCGTTGGCGTTTTGAACAACTTATGTGTAAATTTGAAGAGCGAATGTGCTCTGAGCCTGAAGTAGCATCTCTTTTCTGCTCTTCATAGACCACGTCTTCAAGGTCCACTACAGCATCTGTATGGGACGCGTTGCGTTTTCCCCTGGCTGGACTTCGCTGTTTTTCCTCAGTCTTCGCAATTTCTACCTTTTTTTCTTCATTTGATACTTTCTTTTATTGGCTGTGAACTTGTTGATAGCTTTCAGATAAAGTTTGTAATTTAAAGGGTCCTTCAAATTTGCATTGCTGCTTAGCTAGCCTGCAAGAATAATATAATGTCCAATAAAAAAACTGCAATTGCAACGTTGAATACTACTATGTAATACTATAAAAATTGACAGTAACAACTTAAAACATTCTCCAATAAAATTAGCAATTTGTAAGATATTTTGAATCTAATGATAAATACCTGCTGAAAAAAAAAACAATCGATCAATTGAGGCATCGAGCCAAATCAAATGTTAATTATGATATTATTTTAATAATTAGTGATTCATAGTTATTTGGCGGTTGGAATTTTTTTAACTCCGATAACAATTGGGTTAATATCTTAATGTGTAATCTTTAGTACCCGACGTAACTCAGAAATCAATTGAAAATCGATAATTCATCCATGAAAATTTAGGCTCAAATTTAGAAGATATTTTTTTATTTACCGTATACAGCATCATACACTCTTTTGGATATTTTCGGCCTCGACCCCAACCTCGTTCCTTTAGCAAAAAAGTCTGCTATTCTATCCCCATAGATCTCCAACATTGCAGCCTTCAGAGCTTCATTCCAATCGAATGAACAAGTTTTTGAATCCATACATTTTAGTTCAATGTTATATTTTAAATATTGTGGAAAATATATAGATGATCCTGGAGCTATTTCCACCTAAAAGTTGTTGTAAATGGTGAGTGGGAGTGAAGGCAAGATAGTTTGGAATAATTGTCAATAATACCTTTTCTTTTTCGGGCTGTGTGAATTGATCTGGGATCTAAAAATTTTCGAATGGAAACCCATTATATTGTAGAATAACTTAGAAAAAGCTCATCATCCATTTATGGGGCGAAAACTCTATTTATTATTCATTTATTAGAATCGAAAATTAAATTACGTCGTAATCAGGAAACATTTGAAGATCCGTAGGTGTTCCTGCATCCATCCTATATTGTTTCTCTCAAAGTTACTGTGAAAGAAAAGGAGAAAAATTAAATTAATTAGAATCAAGAAAATTTATAATTTCTATTAATCATGAGAAGAATTTGAAAAGAAAAAGAGTCTTCGATCCCCAGAAAAAATTAATTTTTTTGATATTTCCCTGTCAGATAGAAATAATAAAATAGTTCACTGGTATAAACTATCAATTTTTAGAGCAGATAAATTTAATTTAGGAATAATTTTTAAAATAGACACACCAACGTTTATAGTTTGAACGAATGGAAATATTTTCATAATTTTATAACACTTTCTTGATTCTTATAACAAGGGACTTCCCCCTAAATCTACACTCCTTTGAGTTCCCCCGTTCTTCATCGACTCACCTTCCTTAGGGACGAGGGCAACTACGAGGAAATCGTCTTTCTCCATTATAGGGCCCGTAATGAGTCCATCTCCATCTGATTGGCCAGATTCTGAGTCATTACTTGATTCGGATATTTGTGGCATATCACTCGCTGAAGTATTCTGTTCTGGCATTTTTTTTTCTGAATTCCAGAAGCCTTGTTCTCATAAATTGGACTGTAACTAAATCGAGGACTACGACTACGGCCAAGGCTTGTCAAATATTTTTCATTTTTCGTGGGTGTTTGTGAGTTACCAAGGACAATTCCCATCACTGATTTCTGTGCGCTGATGTCCATTGATCGATTTTTTTTGGTCTGAGCGGTGCTAGCCTTTTTTTGCCTTTTTGTCAAGTGAATTTCTTTTTTCCTACTCATAACCTGCTCAGAGAAACATTTTCTACCCTGTTCTATAATTTTTCCGTCGTGATCAATAGTTATTCCTTCTAGGATTTCTTTATTTGCTGTGAACAACGTTCCGAAAAATTCATGAGAAATTATCTGACAGCATCGTAAAAGGAAATTGAAGAAACCAGTGGGATTTAATAATGTGGTTAATCAGATGCACAGCTATGGCAGGACTTCCTGAATTTTGGTAAGATCACGAATGCATTGTTTAATAAATCTCGTCACTACTTTCTATGAAAAGACTATGAACTGCACAAAACATGAATATACCTCTGGTGAAAACCTGTGAATTTTGAAGTAAAGGAGGTTTTTTTATTCTGACGTTAACCTTCAAAAGACATTGTCGTGGAAAATGTTGAGAACAAAGTCCACAAAGTGATTCCTTTAAATCAAGTTTTTCATTTTTTCACTAAACGCTAGTGGGACTTTAATTAAAATTGGAAAAATTATAACTTACCATTTATAGCAATAACTGTGACCTTCTCCTTCGAGCTTTTTCCAGTTATGTAATCTTCCCAGAGTATACTGAAGTCAGCATAAGTTTTAACATTGATTTTAGGAGTGGGGGACATGGTTACAAGTGGTAACTACGTGGAGTGGGGGCACCCAGAGAAGTAACAACTTATGGTGACTTTAGTATAACTGAACTGACGCATTGGGTTTTCGTCCAGATGGTGGAATACACAACAATTGTATAATATCACTGCGCTTCTCACGAACCCAAAAAATTCAGGCAAAACCTGCGGTTTTTTTGCTTGGCATCATTGCGAGATTCTGAGCAATTGGCACTTGAATGGCGTTTCACCGGCAAGCCAAGCCGACTTCAGCACAAAATAATCCCACGCGTTTTCACCGGCATTTCACTCTGAGACTTGACGCCATTTTGTGATTGGGTACCCGCCTGATCACAAGTACGGTTTTATTACCGACAAAGTGTTATTATTCTGTGATTATTATTCTTTGAAATAAATTCGCGTACAATTACCTGTTTATTTCGTGTAAAAAATACGTTGCCATGCCACGCAAAAAATTCTCGGATTTATCTGCACGAAGTCGGAGCAATTATATAAAAACTGTTGACATGAACGCCAGACTAATGCACGATCGAAGACATCTTAACCTCTCACGTCAAGATTCTTCTCAAAGGTGATTATTTGTGCTTCATGAATTTATTAAATTAGTTTAATGTCTAATCGATTCTGTGATTTATTTCATTATTTCCCTTATTAGAGGATGCTTACTAAGTTGGAATATTTTCGCGTTGGGACGACTTCCAATTAATTTTAGATAAATGTTGCTTAAAACTATTCCATTTCTTAAAACCATGTTCTTTTCGAGTCACGAGTTATTCAGTTATTGCTATCTTATTTTCGCCTATAATTTCAGACAGAATTTAAAAAATACACCAAATATGGCCTGAATGACTTGCATCAGCAAATCATGCTGTGTAGGGCCTCAAGTTCAACATTTTCATTAATTTTTTCTATAGATCTGACGACAACTCTTTTGCCAGCTCATTAATCGTATCGGAGAAATCAATCTGCACCGAAGTGAACTCAGATTCAGAAGCATCCACATCAGAAAACTCTGATGATGAACCAGAGCTTCAGGGCAATTGCAGGGTTCCTGATGATAGTGTCATCGAAACCTCCAACGATTCTTCAGATGAGATGAGTTATGCAAGTCATTCACAGAGTGATCCTAATGAATTCCTAGCTGATGGTGATAGTGAAATCGATTTGAATGGTGTAGTGAATGCTGTGCATCGAGACAGGGATCCAGAACGTGATGATGATCAACCCTTATATTTTGGAGCACCTCTTACTGTGCGAAAAAGTATGCTGATGTTATTGTCACTCTATCTTAATCATTATCTTGATCAATCGTGTCTAGGAGCCATAATTGACATGATAAATTTACACTGTCCTCAAAGAGATTTGATGAAGAACAGCTTATATAAATTCAAAAAATATTTCAATTTAGCAGAGCTTTCAGAGTATAAAAAGTATTATTGCTGTTCTGAATGTTCTCATGAAGTAGAGAGACTAAATGAATTATGTCCAGGTTGTCAGAAAAATACGAAAATATCCTATTTCATTGAGTTACCTTTCCACGATCAATTACGAGAATTGTTTAAACCAAATCGTTTTTACGAGAGCCTACAAAAACGATTTGAACGTAACTGTCCCACAGATGTGATAAGTAACATATATGATGAAAAACAGAATAAAAAATTAACTGACCTCGGTTTCACCTCAAATCCTCATAATATTATACTGATGGCATCCCTGTATACAAATCATCAAAGGTGTCAATGACACGAATTTATTTATCGATAAATGAGTTGCCTTTCTCACATCGAAGTCTACCTGGAAATATACTTTTAGCAGGCCTGCTGTTTGGAAGTGAAAAATTAGGCGTTAATATCCTCTTAAAAAAATTATTTGCCCAATTTGAAGCTGTGGCAGCTAGAATTGATGTGTCCCTTTCACAGGGAAGTATGATCAATGTTCGAGGCCTTCTGTTACTCGGTACTTGCGACTTGCCAGCAAAAAGCCATATTTTCAACTTGATCACATTCAATGGGTTTTTTTGGATGTCCCCTTTGTGAATGGCCTGGAGAAACCTTTTCTTTGCCATCAGGAGGAACAATTCACGTGTACAAATTTTCAGCAAATTTACCACTGAGAACTTCTGAGGGCGCCATTCACTGTGGAGACGAAGCTCTGCAAACTGATGGACCCATTTTAGGCTACCTTGCGTAATCTCCATGCTAATGCCGGATTTTATAAATGGAACAGCAATTGATCGCATGCACGCTGTCGATGGAGGTGTGATAAAAAAATTATTAAACCTCTGGTTTGGCTCATATTATCGAAATTCTCCTTTTTCTTTACTTGCTGTTAAAGATATTGTACATGAGGGATTGAAAACAATCAAACCTCCCAAGTTCACCCATCGTATGCCCAGAACAGTTGATGATCTCTGTCATTGGAAGGCATCAGAGCTCAAGATGTGGGCGTTTTATTATTCCTTGCCAATTTTGCAGGGAGTTATGAGATCTGATTTTTTCGCAAATTATTCGATTTTAATAACTGCAATTTCGATTCTCAGCGCAGATTTTATTTCCCTTAAAATGATCGATGTTGCTGAAAAATAACTGCAACAGTTTGTTCGTGGTTTTGAACTACTATACGGGTTACAATTCTATTCCATAAATATTAATCAACTCTTACATCTAGCTCAATGTGTTCGTCAATTGGGTCCTCTGTGGACCTATACTTGTTACCCGTATGAGGACCTTAATGGTCGCCTACTGAGAACTATCCATGGAACACGATATATACAGGGTGTCCCAGAAGTACGTGCCGATACTGAACTGGCATGTACAGGGGGTGAGTCTGAACCAAGAAGTCCTTTACCACTTTTGGATCGGAAGCACCCCTCCGGAGATACTGGGGTAAACAGGACAGCCAATGACGCTGCCGCGATAAGCGGCAATACGTCGGTGTGGCTGCCGCGCTCGAATGTGAGTGATTCCCCTTCGAGCCAGAAGGAGGCGGGATCAAGTTCCACGTTCACCCGTGAGCGTGAGAGAGAAGGCATGGTTTTCTCTCTCACTCTCTCGCATCACTCCGCGGCAATGTTTTTGCAGTTATCTCTTAAACAATTGGGTTTTTGGGATATTTCCATTGATTATTATTTGTTGCATATTGAATTTGCAACAAAATAATCTGATGGAAAAATCACCTAAGCCGAATGGTTTATTTAATATCAGCAACAAACAGTTTGATCGTTTTTAAATGTTATAAAAAAAACGATGGCCCGTACGGCATTTTTCCATCAAATATGTTTAAAGTAGACATAAAAAAACCCCCCCCCCCCCCCAACTCAACGACAATTAATCGACGAATTTCGGACACTTCCGGGGTTCATCGGATCGGTCACCCGAGGGTCAACAACCACCTTGGGAAAAATCTCCGAAAGAACATTGTTTATTAGATAATTGTTGAAGAGGGCGTTTTTAACTAAAAATCTAAAAATCACGGCGATCGCTCTGTCCATTTTTGAGACAGTTGTTTAATTATTAATTATCTCATCAACCATGAGAACTAGCAAAATTTATCGGAGAATCTTTTTTTTTTGTTAAAGAGATTTAACAAAAAAAAGTTCTCCTTATAAAATTTTGTCAAAGTCTCGGTTGATGAGATAATTAATAATTAATTAATTATCCGATGAATGGCAAGGGGATTGCCCGCAATTTTCCCGTCAATTCCCAGTGGCGAGACTGTTTTTGCAGTTATCTTTTAAACAATTGGGCTTTCGGAGATTTTTCCATTGATTATTTTTTGTCGCAAATCGAATTTGCAACAAAAAATATCTGATGGAAAAATGCCGTACGGGCCATCGTTTTTTTTATAACATTTAAAAACGATCAAACTGTTTGTTGCTGATATTAAATAAACCATTGGGCTTAGGTGATTTTTCCATTAGATTATTTTGTTGCAAATTCAATTTGCAACAAATAGTAATCAATGGAAAAATCCCAAAAACCCAATTGTTTAAAAGATAACTGCAAAAACAGTCTCGCCACTGGGAATTTACGGGAAAATTGCGGGCAAGCACCTTGCCATTCATCGGATAATTAATTAATTATTAATTATCTCATCAACCGAGAATTTGACAAAATTTTATAAGGAGAACTTTTTTTTGTTAAATCTCTTCAACAAAAAAAAAGATTCTCCGATCAATTTTGCTAGTTCTCATGGTTGATGAGATAATTAATAATTAAACAATTGTCTCAAAAATGGACAGAGCGATCGCCGTGATTTTTAGATTTTTAGTTAAAAACGCCCTCTTCATCAATTATCCAATAAACAATGGGCTTTCGGAGATTTTTCCATTGATTATTTTTTGTCGCAAATCGAATTTGCAACACAAAATATTTGTTTAGTTGAGGACGTTGTTTTTTGGGTGGTCGGGCGTCGGAAAATTGGAAATGGTGTGTCGGGATAAGGGTGATCAAGTGGAACAAAAACCGAGGTATAAAACACTGCGTTTTAATATTCACTTTTCGAGATTATGTACAAAAATATATACAGAGTCGTTGAGTAATCTTTGAGTTGATTAAACGAGTTGAGGTACGTTGATTTAGACTATTAATTAATCGTTGATTAACAGAGAGAAGCTACGCGTCGGTTAAGATCACTCGCGGTGTAACGTTGAGAGGCGTTAATGTACACGAAAAGTTGAGATGATTATTAGGCGACGTTGACTGTACGAATGAATTGGGGGGGGGCGGGGGGGTTCCCAAGGTGGTTGCTAACCCTCGGGTGACCGATCCGATGAACCCCGGAAGTGTCCGAAATTCGTCGATTAATTGTCGTTGAGTTGGGGAGGGGGGCGTTTTTTCATGTCTACTTTAAACATATTTGATGGAAAAATGCCGTACGGGCCATAGTTTTTTTTATAACATTTAAAAACGATCAAACTGTTTGTTGCTGATATTAAATAAACCATTCGGCTTAGGTGATTTGTCCATCAGATTATTTTGTTGCAAATTCAATATGCAACAAATAATAATCAATGGAAATATCCCAAAAACCCAATTGTTTAAAAGATAACTGCAAAAACATTGCCGCGGAGCGATGCGAGAGAGTGAGAGAGAATACCATGCCTTCTCTCTCACGGTCACGGGTGAACGTGGAACTTGATCCCGCCTCCTTCTGGCTCGAAGGGGAATCACTCACACTCGAGCGCGGCAGCCACACCGACGTATTGCCGCTTAGCGCGGCAGCGTCATTGGCTGTCCTGTTTACCCCAGTATCTCCGGAGGGGTGCTTCCGATCCAAAAGGGGTAAAGGACTTTTTGGTTCAGACTCACCCCCTGTACATGCCGGTTCAATATCGGCACGTCCTTCTGGGACACCCTGTAGATGAGTCGGTAATATTTCTGGCTGATTTTCGCCCCAATCTCTACGAATCGTTTTTGCATGAGCAGGAATTACTGTATTATGAGTGTGACGTACATCGGATTTTTGGACAAAGAGAGAGAGAGCCGCGTCCAACCCGCGAATCCCACAGAAAGTGGGGAAAGGATGAATAAATAATTATTACAATAAAATAAAATTTTCGGCCCGCGATCATCCCGGTTGAACCGGAGGCTACGCTAAAGCGATTCGGAATCTTGGAGTTCTCCCTGCTAATTCCGGGATTAGCAGGAGATTAAAGAATCATGGGGGAATTTAGGGTGAGAAAATTAGCCAGGGTTATTCTCTGCTAAATCAGCAGGAGGTTAGGAATTCGGTTAGAGGAAAATTAGTGTTAGATAGGGATTAGCGGGTCAGTTATTTAATGGGGAAATCATGTCGATCCTTAATCGCGTCGTAGGGATAAAATAAAATTAACATTCGACGTGGATGTGGGGCTTAGCCGTTTGCGAAATCTTTCCGGGAGGAACAGTCTGGCTGCGAGTGCCAGGACTCTTACAAAAGGGATCCGTGAGGAATTTTATATTACGGCTCAGCGTTGGAAGGACGGCAGGGGTGTTACGACCGACACCTCCCCGAATTGCAGGATTGGTTAAGTTATTTAGGGTTAGTAAGTCCACGGATCCCCGGGCGAAACACCCGGGCAAGATTACCCGCGATAACTGGGGTTGTTACGATAAGTTGGAAACATTGGTTCCCCCATTCAAATTTGAATGGGGAGAAATTAGCGCGCTAGGACAATTAGCACCGTCGTGCTCAATCCGCCGGTACTAACGTTCCGACGAGACACGAGTTCCGCCATAACTTTAGCAGTTATCGCCAGGACACAAGAGCCACAGGACGTTCCCCAGAAAGAAGAAAAGACAATTGGAGGATCCCACACGACACGCAAGCCGCGTGGAAAGGTGAGGATAGCTTTATAAACTTATCCCAGTAACACCGGTTACTAGAGAACGGATTATGCTTTCGGTTCGCGAATGAAAAATTATCCTGTTCGATCAACGGATCGAAGAGTGTTTTCCCTCCGTTGAGGTGTTTGTGAGTGGTTTTCAGCCACGATTTGATCGAAAACCACGGCTGCTCGCACGTGGAGAAATTCGTTCATCCCACAGGGCCGTCCCTGTGGAGGTTTGGGCTCTTATCGCGCGGAAAAGGGCGTGAAAATCCCGGGGGAAACCGTCAAAAACCCCCGTGGAAAGTGAGAAATTCATTCAGTTAACCTTGAGGGGTGTCCATGCCGTAGCGGCCTCGAGTGTTTTCCCCCACTCCGCTTCGCTCAACGTTGAGCGAGAATTCCAGCCCAACGGTGCTGAGAAAATCCCGTTTTACATGAACGGAGATATCGTGGTCTCCCTGAACGGTGGAAATCCCCAATTTTGGGAGAATACTCGTGGGTTATCCCCCTCGGTAATGGAATTTATCCGATGCCAATCGGTGGAGGCATTGAGGCGTGGTGAAAAATAAAACCGTCGAAAAATTTTCATAACGCGTGCTGCGAACGTTGGGTGACGTGCGATCTCTGTCGCACACTACACTCTATCTCCATCTCTCTCGCGTTCTCTTCTACCGCCTTCTCTAGGCTCTCCGAGGATTTTCTCGGTGTTCATAAAATTTATCTGTAACCCTCGATCGTCGACTAATTTCCTGGGATAAATCCCGTACCTCTCACGAGGGTCCGCGGAATTACGTGGAGTAGAAATTATAACTTATCCATGGTTAAAAATTTATGATTAATGCCTTCTATGCGGCCCTCCATTCTTCGGAAATTTCCCGAGCCTCTCTTGAGGTTTCGCGGAATTACGTGAAGGTTTCCCTGGTTTGAATTTTCTAATTAAGTACTTCAGTGAAGCTCTGAATTTTGGGAAAATCCCGAGCACCCTCCCGTGCCTCGCGGACAAGAAAGGGAGGTTTCTTTTTTTTGAAAATTATCACCACCACGGCGGGTGGAATACATACCGCTGACTCTGCCAACTGGGAAATTTCCGACCCTAGTGGTCGAGTTAATTGAATAAAATAGCTAATTTTGAGGAGAATTTAGGGGAGTCTGAAGATTTATTTTGAACATTCTCCTTGTCCTCTTCCCCGAATCCACATCGTAGCACACTGAGCTGCGCAGGCATCCATTACCTCTCCCTTCACCTCTTCGCTGAATGAGGTCTAAGTGCGGGTTAGTGATACGTTTTGCGGTTTTAATCTAGGTTTAACTTTCGAGTAGCTGGTTTCTCGATTTGAATAATTAGTTGGCGCCCGGCAACCTCTTTTAGGTCCCAATTTTGTTAAGTATTTGCATCGGCGTGGAGGACGTAGGGAGGAAGGGCGAAGGTGATGGGCATTTTCGGTCGTTTAGAAAATGTCACATCACACGAGATACTGAGTTAATTCAATATTATGATAAGTCACCTCAGTTGCATGACTTCTTTAATGGTAACAGATTGGCTATTTCAGTTATGGAAGATAACCCATTCTGTGAAGAGTTTACAGGGAAGAACAAATTCATAGGACGGTACCCAATTAAAATACCGATGTTGATCATTGAAAACATTAATTGTTGTACTCAGTAATGTAAATTCTAATTTTAATTACTCAAACTCAACGGTCTTTTCATTCTAGAAGTCCTGAGCATGGTTATAGATTGGGCAGGGATGTCATGTGCTCAGTTTGTAGATGTCCTTAGAGATTGAATCTGGTCCATAGAGTCACCTGCAATTTTTTCATGTCATAATCGTTCTTTATATTAGATAGATGAGATTATTACATGCTTAGCGTCGATGGGAACCTTAGGAAATAATTGCATCGATTTCGTCCCTCCTGACAATCAAATCTAATGATTAATAATCTTCTGGTAATTGTAATCGAGCACAACATAATTCGTTTTTTATACCTTTCAAGTTTTTTAAATATTTCAGTGATAAAAGAGTTTACAAGGAAGTCAATATAGATTCATCCATCGCAACTTGTAACGCGATTTTCGCGTTAATGGAAAATATTTACTGGGATAAATCACGCTCTCTGCCGCATCGATTGGGTCCGCTAATTCCCTACGCGTGGGGGGTTGAAGTTATACCCGACTAGAAATTAAACGGAGCCATCTTGGTGTCATATAAGGACCGGATCCGGTATAAGTACGGTTATCTTGATCCGGCTTGCCATGGCTCAAACTTATCGTGACCGGATAAAGCCAGTCTCCAGCAGCCGTAGAGATATAAAGTTCAAGTACAATCCGGTTATCCTGGAGGTGTCCTTATGAGGGCCGTATATGCGTTACCTGATGTAAAAAAATCTAGCATCAGGTGTGGACACGGCCTCCTTGCCCAGGTCTGCCGTGGCTCAAACTTATCAGGGCTGGATAAAGCCAGTCTCCGGCAGCCGTAGATGTATAAAGTTTAAGTACAATCTGGCTATCCTGAGGGCGTCCCTATCAGGGCCGTATAGGCGTTACCTGATGTCAACAAATCTAGCATCAGGTGTGGATACGGCCGCCTTGTCCAGGCCTGCCGTGGCTCAAACTTATCAGGACCAAATAAAGCCAATCTCCGGCAGCCGTAGATGTATAAAGTTTAAGTTCAATCCGGTTATCCTGAGGGCGTCCTTATCAGGGCCGTATATGCATTACCTGATGTAAAAAAATCTAACATCAGGTGTGGATACGGGTTCTTTGTCAAGGCCTACCGTGGTTAAAACTTATGTTGACCGGATAAAGTCAGAGTCTGGCTGCCGGATAGACAGAAAGTTGAAATTTAATCCGGTAATCTTAAGGGGGTCTTTCTCAGGGTCATATATCTATTACACGATTTGAACAATGCGCCATCAGGTATGTATATACAGTCTTCTTTTTAGTGCAGCATTTGACTAGCTCGGTCATGATTATTAGTGGCATTGCTTTGCTCCATTCAGTCTGTTGGATTAAATTTACATGAATCAATTCTTCGTTCGAAATAAATAAATTTAGAAAATACTGTTTAAAATGAGTGGAAGACGTAATGAGGAGTCAAAAAGTCGAAAACGTGTGCTCGGGCGTGAACGGGTTAGACTTCATCGCGCTGAAAAACGTTGTCAGCAGATGAATGAAGCGAGAATGTTATGGGATGACGACAAATCTATTGATGTTGATATTCGAGAGGATGGACAACATGTTGGATTGGAGCATGAATATAGCGAGAGCATGGGCAATAGTGAGTACAGTGGGGATGCTCTGAAATATTCATTCAGTAATGAAGATGTCCTGGAAAATAATCTTGACCTAACCTCTACTTCTCATGACCTCGGTAGTGAACAGAATACATCAAAATTGAACGACCAAGAAAGTGGAATGGATGTTGAAATTACTAGTAACAATTATGGTGATCAAAACATTGGAACAGTGTTTGATCAATTAAATCGATTTAGTTTTGAATTAGACAAGGATGATGCTGAACCTACAGAAGAGCTACCTGACCACCAACATCTAATAAGTTCTACACTTGATGAGTGGTACGACGCTGAATCATATGCCTCGGATGGAGATTTTGATGGCACCGATGAAGAACTAGATATACGACCAGCTAGTGTAACAGAAGATAATGTGGAAGATCTTGAGGAGTCTCTTGAAGATTACAATCAGGAAGAAGAGTTGAGAAGATGGGCATTGAGTGGTCATCCACCTATCGCTCACGTGCGTCTTGAAGAATTACTCACGATATTTCGTAGACGATTTTTACCCCAATTACCAAAATCTGCTAAGACTTTCTTGAAAACCTCGAAAGCTTCTTATCATATTGAAATTGATAAAGATGCAAACGAATTTGTGTACTTTGGACTAAAAGAAAAGTTGAAACAAATAGTGAATCCTGCCCTACATACTGATAATAATATTGATTTATTATTCAATGTGGATGGTTTACAATTATACAAGTCTAGCTCCAAGCAATTCTGGCCCATCCTCTGCCTAATTTTCTCAGAAGAAAATCTCTACAAGCCATTTCCAGTAGCAATATACTCTGGTATCAAAAAGCCAAATGATGTGAATCAATTTCTGGAGAAGTTTGTAAATGAAATTAATGAGTTGCAAGCTGACGGATTGAGGACTGATGGTAATAAATTGAATGTACGTATAAAAGCTTTTGTTTGTGATCGACCTGCTCGCGCTTTCTTAAAGTCAATTAAAAATCATGGCGGTTACTGGGCATGTGAGAGGTGTGAGGTTCGTGGGGAAAGATTCGAAAGACGTACGATATATCCGGTGGATGATGCAGTCAAAGAGAGGACTGACGACTCATTCCGGCGACAGTTGAACGAGGGGCACCATACTGGTCAAACTCGTCTTTTGGAAATTCAACCACCGATAAATATGATCACAACATTCGTGCTTGATTTCATGCATCTAGTGTGCTTAGGTGTTATGAAGAAGCTTTTAACTTTATGGCTAAAAAGTAAATTGAAAATTCGACTGAGCTACACCAGTAAAATATTATTATCCAATTTATTGCAACAACTTTCCAGTCAAATTCCTTGTGAATTTCAGCGGACTACGCGGTCATTAACAGAGATTGAGCGATTCAAGGCTGTCGAGTTTAAATTTTTACTGCTGTATGCAGGGCCAATAATTTTTAAATCCGTTTTAGCAGATAATGCATACAGACATTTCCTCCTTTTACACGTAGCATGTCGTATACTGTGCTCAAAAACGAAAGCTATTCTCGATTGTACTCGGGCCAAAGATTTGTTGATAAAATTTGTCAAATTGATGCCACGTTTATATGGGAAAGAAAGTTTGATTGGAAATATCCACAACCTCATCCACTTAGCCGATGATGTGTCTCATATGGGTTGCTCAATTTTCAATTTCACAGCATTTCCATTTGAAAACGCTCTGGGTCGTATGAAGAAATTTCTTCGAAATGGCAACAGACCATTGGCTCAAATTTGTCGACGTCTTTATGAGACTGTCTCCATTGACACTCAGAAAGGACAGCCAGAACCGACAGTAAAAATATTGAATGCGAGAATCAACGTCTGGGACCCTACTCATTGACTCAAGTAGTTCAAAAAATGGTTCCATTAGAAATAACTAATGAAAGCAAATGTCAAATGTACACAATGCCTCTTCTTCACATGTAGTTTTTAAGGAATTGGAAAGAAATAATTAAATTGTGTGTTGAGTAGCAAAAGAGGGAAAAACTTGATAATTTTTCGAAGACAGTTGGTGTAATAATTTAAAAAAACGTCGTCATCACTCGTTTCGTAAGTATTCAATGGTGAGGCGAATTTGTACCTATTATCCAGGCCGATTGGCGCAGGCATCATCAAAATGGCCGGTGGCATGATCAAGTGAGCGGGCCTTACTGTGTGTGAGAGAAAATTAAAGTGAAAAAATCGCATATAACAACATTTACAGTGTTCAACCAATAAAAATCGGTCGCAGAACGTGTTATTTTACAGAGACATACTAAATCATTATTTAGTTTATATCCCTGAATTCACCTACCTCGTTGGCAAGTATTCTAACCTCAAATCATCATTATGGTAAGTTTTTGTTCATTTGGGAATAATGAAAACTTCTAAAACTCAGAAAAAAATCACTCAGTAAAATTTTTCGTGGGTGCAATTGGAAAAAAGTCGTGAATAATTTCCTAGCTAATCATTTTTGCAAAAATTAATTGGGAATCATTTTGTGAAAAATCAAAAATACATTTTCGATTAACTTTCCGGTTATAAATTTGAAATAGATGTTAGGTTTGCATGCTTCATTCGTGTTTGCAGCACTCTCATACGATGGGCTTTAAGCGATCAAAGAGACATGGGGAGGGGAATGAAGAAGACCCTGGTTATCGCTTTAAAGTGGTTCTTTTCCTGGACGACAAGGAAGAAAAACTAAGCATTGACGTCGCACCTGAAAAATGGGTGTTTTATTCAGAGGAATCGAAAACCAACCTCTGTCGCTTTCCAGTTGGTCCATTCAGCAATCAAGACATTTCTGACTTACACCAAAAAGTTCAGAATTGTCATCTTGCTGACGAGTCATGGCCACTACATCGAGTTCAAATCCGTGGCAGAGCACGAACATATTCAGAGGCTTGCGATGCTGCCGAGAAATTACAATTTGATCGGTATGCATTCTCCACAGATAGAGAGAGTTCTGTTGAGCGAGCTCTGCGCGAAGAGAATGAACTTCCTAGATGTAGAGACCTGAGCGATAAAACAATAGACGAGGAGCTGGATGAGGCCACAGTTATATTGGCTGATGATGCAGTGATAATGAATAAGGAGAAGACCAGGTCAATTCGAAAAAAACAGAGAGGAAAACAGAAATTTTCCAAACAACCTCCCTGGTCATCACCAGACTCATCATCTTCCGACGAATCGACTTCTCAAGTTCAGATGAAGAAGGGAGAACATTTTCGATGGAGAGTATCGGTGCCGTCATCACTCTCCCTGATATCTGGAGGATCCCTCTCAAAGAGTTCAATGAAAAACGATAGAGGATCTTCACAGAATTCATTGGATTCATCCTCTAACGAATCATCACGTGAGAATCCCCGTTCAAGACCTCCAAGATCTCCAAAGAAAAATGCCAAAAAATCTCACCAAATTTCATTCGATTCCGAGACATTACTGGATGTTTCATCACCTGAACCTAAAACCTCTTCAGGAGAGCTTGCTCTTCAGGTTTCAAAATCATATGCTGAATCGTCCAGTGCTCCATCTCCATCTGCATCCAAGAAATCATCCCAAAAGTACCTCGACAGTTCTGCTCATTCAAAAACAGGCCTAGAATTGTTATCGAGAAAAGTGTTGCCCCTATCAATTCACTCATCAACACCAAAAACTTCCAAGAGGAATCATTCCGAGATGCAGGGATCGTCTCCAGAAATTGATAATGAGAAACAAGTCGATAAACGAGCAAAGGACCACCGACGATCTCGCTCAAGAGAACGAAGGAGCTTCCATGAAGACCACGAAACCCTGAAGAATATCCCGAGGCCACATCAAAATTCATCGACGAGAATAAGAATTTCTAATCGGTCTTATTCAGCTGAAACTCCCAAACAGACTAATGATAGAGGACGAGAGAAACGTGCACGTTCTTCAGAAGTTAATTCTTCTCGTTGCATTGTCACCAATTCAGCTCCAGTTGAAAGGGTCTTGCCAACAGTTGAGGAAAACGAAAATCATGGTAATGATCCATTTTTTATTAAATTTCAATATTCTTAGTTTCATCTTAGTCCCTCTGGATACAACGTTTCATTTCTTTCTGCAGAATCTTTACGAGTCTACATGAAATCAATTTATCGGAGTTTATCGAACAAAATCGACCGTTTACACGGATCCCACGTGGAAACTTTAGGAAAGTTGGATCACCTCATTAATGTTCTGGATAAAGATTTTCCAACGCAGGAAGATAGCGATGATGGCAATGATGTGAATAATCCTGATGCGATCATTCTTCCTCTCGATTCTCTAGAGAAATTTCATATTTTCGACGCAAAACTCAAGGATGACAAGGAATATCGAATGAAAATTGTGAGTAATGATACGTCTCTCCTATCACTCTGAAGATCTTTGCCCGTTTTTTTTTTGCTTATTAATTTGCCATTCAATTTTGTTGCGATTTTCTTGGATTTAGAAATGAATTAAGGAAACTTTTTTCTCCTTTCAACAATATTTCCATAAAAATCAATAAAAATATATTTCAAGATCGATTTGGATACTATCAAATTGTCGTCAATTAATTACATTTTTATTTCGACTTTTTTTGTTGTTTATTTCAAAATTATAAGAAGGTAATATGACATAATTTCATTTATTAATTTTTTTATTATTTAAAAATATTACACAAAATCTTTGTAATCTTTTGGGAATGAATATCGATTTTCTTATTCTCACGATGCATATCTCAACAGTAGAAATAGTTGAAATTTGGATCATTATTATTTTATTCATTCAACAATACATAATCGAAATTTGATATTTGTACCATATTGTGATTTTGTTTCCTAAAAATTACCGATGGATCTCTTGCACTTCTGTTTATGAAAGGAATCTCTTTGCCCTTTTGCCACTCCATTAATATTAACTAGAATTTTATAATTATTTCAGAAAAAACGCATAAGAAATATGGTACCTCAGCCTACAATTCAATATGCAACGCGTAATCTCAGCGTTATTGTTCGTACGTTCTTAACAAAAAAACTTGTAACTGAGAGCTTTGTAGCATTAAAAAAAACTGCAAGCAAAAATGCTCTGAAAGATACAAGTCTCTACAAATGCTTCTTGGGTAAGTATCACTTCTCAGCACAATATAAGACCCATTATAATGATTTAAATGTAGGCTTCTATCGTTTTATTTTTGTCTTTATTTAGACGTGCACCTGACAGTTTGTGGGGATCAGATGAATGAAAAAAAATTTAACGAATTCTTGAAGAACATGTTCAATTCTGCTGCCGATTGGGATGGAGGACGTCTTGATCGTTCTAAGCATTAATTGCTGTGACTATCGTTATGGATCAAAGTATATTCGTTCGTTCGTTCGTTATCCGTTTTTTATCCAAGTTCTAGAAATGAAGAATTTTTTTTTACAAGTTTTTCTTTCGTTGTGATGGCAACTCAAGTGACCAATGAAAATCGTGAGTAATGATACTTTTCACCTATCGCTTCCCACCAAGTTCCTTGATTTTTTTTATTGATTATTTATTTTCCTACAATTTTAAGAAGCATAAAAATTATTTTTTGTAAATTTTGTTACTTAGATTGCAGTTTCGTCTGCATAAAAAGTAAATAAATTCACAATATTTCTGATCGTATCATTTTTCCTCCATTTTCTTCAAATTCAAAAATATTTTTTGAAGCTTAAAATTGAATTAAAATGAGAGATTCAGATTAATTACATTTACCACCACATCTATTAGTGACAAAAATCTCTGCTCCTTTCCCTCTCCATTAATTTTGATTCGACTTTTATAAACATTTCAGAAGAAACGTAAAAACATATGGTGCTCCCGTTCACCATTCAATGTGCAAGCAAAGAAAGGTGCAACTAAACAGGACACGAATCCCTATAAATGCTTCCTGGGTGAATATAAATCATATATGATAAATTTCAATTATTCAATTGAGAATTATTATCATGTTCATTTCATTTTTTTAGATTTACAGTGGAAGTTTTGCAGTAATCAGATGAATTAAAAATATTCCTGATAAGTATGTTAAGTTCTGTTGGGGATTGAGATGGAGGACATCCTTAGCCATTCTCAAAATGAATTCGTTATCTATCACAAAGTATATATTTTTTTCTTTATGTGAGGTAATAAAAAATTTTTGATAGAAGTGTAATGGAAAATAAAGGAAAAAATTGCAGTAATCAAATAATTATTGATTTCTTCAAACTCTTGAAGAGTCATCCGCATCCGGTATCTGAAAGATTAAGTACATCTGGGGAAGTTATCTGGCTGAAGTTCTCAACAAGTTACCAGAATAGGGCCCTGAACAAGCTCCTTGGCTGAGGTCTTGAGCAAGCTGCTCAATTAAGAGCCTGAGCGAATTGGCTGGCTAAGGGCCTCGGCAAGTTGCTTGGCTAGGGGCCTGGACAAGTTGCCTGGCTAAGGGCTTGGGCAAGTTGCCTGGCTAAGGGCTTGGGCAAGTTGCCTGGCTAAGGGCTTGGGCAAGTTGCCTGGCTAAGGGCCTAGGCAAGTTACCTAACTAAGGGCCTGGTCAAGTGACTTTTGTCCGGCCCAGATGCCCCCAACGCGTTACAGTCTTGACCAGGGCCGTACAAAGTGTACAAACATGGGCCTGATGTCCGGAACCCGGCAAACCGTACCCGGACCAGATATGACCCGGGTTTGAATTTCTAGTCGGGTAGTACTGAACCTCAGCTCCCAATGAGACTCCTCTGTTGGAACACTTGGTTCTCCACTCCAGAGAACTGTTCCACGTTAGACGGGGCGGGCATTCAAATGACCAGGGGTCCAGATAAGGGGTTAACTGGACAGCCTGGTTGGGGACATTTGAATTCGGCGCGCTCCAGGAAACGTTACCGGCAGGGATATCCTCGCGGTGGTGATAAGAACCACGGACGATCCCCCACGCACTCCAGCCGCGTGAGTCGGGAGTGGGGAGCAGAGCTACTAGGGAGCACTCTCCACTCCACACGGCAGAGTTGCTCCGGCACTCTCACGGGCCACTTGGCCCCGGGCTATGACAGCCCGTAGCTCTCGATGATTAGCGTGGCTATATAGCCCGCCATATTGCTCTACCTATCGCTATCTCTCTTACAGCCATGAGGCTGAGCTAACGGACTATATTGGAAGGTATACCTATACCCAGAGCTCTCGCGATGCTAACGCATATCGGCAGCTATCGGCGTTCTACCGCTATCTAATTACCGATCGCTCTCGCCTCTATCGACCTGACTTGCTATCGATCACCGTACCCTACCAACCTTCCGACGCTATCGGGGACCGACCACAGCAAAAGAACTCCGACCCTCTCTCCATAACCTAGCATACTGAGCGACCCAGTGCTCCCGCACGCGTTCTAACTTTACATCCGCCATTTTTGGTATTTCGCGGGAAGTCTCCAGAGGTCCTCACTGCGCCCTAGGAAAGGGACAGTGACGATCTCTGGTCACGCACCTCATTTTAACTTATCGGTCTTTCCTAATTGTGTCCTCAACAACTAGGCGGCTTAAATGGTATTTCCTAATTGTATCCTTAGCAATTAGGCGGCTCTCTGGTTTACTATTTTACCCACTTAAAATAGCTGGCGCCCTCCTGGTAAATTCGCGGATGCTAGGGAACCGGCGAAGGTAACTAATGCCCCGGACTTACGGAACACTCCGGGGAAAACATCGTTACAAACTTCGTAAGTGACATTTTCTCTCATAAAAACTCATTGAGGAAATTAATTAACAATCTTACTGATATGGACACTGTAAAGTTATGGAATGATTAATTAAGGATTGACTTACTCAAGAACGTCAAGTTTCACGAATGAAGATCCAGAGAGTAAAGGATGCTCTTTCTGAAAAAAAAAATCATTCTAGACGATACCATTTAGCGGCTGAATATTATCATCGAACTGGCCAGGAATGTCATTTCTCCTCATTGATTCATGTGTCCTTTAGAGTATCGAGCACTACAAAAATGTGCAGAACACATAAATCTTAAATTGTGAAAGGTCCCAGACAGGAGGTGAACCAGATCTTCATTCCTACGTACTCGCAACCATTCCCTACATCTTTCCGGGTTAACAGGAAAAGGCGGAAAAATCAGTCTTCGATTGGCAGCTTTGGTATCTTTACAATGTCACACGCGGCACGCTGCAGTTCCCCTTATTATTTCTACACTTTCTTGACACCTTTATTATTTTCCATACTTGGAAATCATTCACTGACGTCACAATAATGACACTTTTTTTAATACCGTCCAGCTAGGATTTCTTTGTCTTCAATCCTCGAAACGGTAAATGTCTAGGTCAGGTCCACCAAACCATTCAGGATGTTTTATATTTGATTGGGTGGGTTTTCGTCACCTAATTAAGGATCTGGTCACTTTTTTTCATCCAAAAACAATTAGTATAGGATATATGACATTTAATAAACCGATCCTTGCGGTATCCAGGGCCACGGCGAGGCCGTGGCGGTGTGTCGGTCCCAAAGACCTCACATGTGAGTACATTTATCGACAATGGACACACAGAAAGATGGATTTATCAAATACTCCTGAGTACTTCACTAAAACTTTGCATTCACCTCTCCCGACCATCTACCATCGCTGAACGA